GTTTCAAATTGCACACTCATTTTATAGAATGAATACCTTATTTTCTTCAGAATCTTGGTTCAGTGTGACTCCGGAAATAATTGCTAGACGGCAAGCTCTCGTCTGCTCGTGTGATGTTATTATTGACGCATTTTCTGGATGTGGAGGGAATTCAATTCAGTTCGCTTTCGCTTGTAGATTTGGTAAGTCCATGGACTTTGTTAACTCTTCTACTATCTTTGTAATTTGACATCAACCTTATTTTTATAACCATTTTTCTAGTTATCTCAATAGACAACAACCCTGAACGGCTAAGTCTCTTACAAAGCAACGCTGAGGTGTATGGCGTTGGTCGGCTAATGAATCCTATTATTGGTGATGTCTCTCGAGTGTTACGTTGCATGTTTAAACCTCAGTCGTCAAACCAAACTTCTGATAATATTTCAACCATTCAGCTTCCATCTGTGAAAGATGTAACTCCATCAAATTCTGATATAGAACCTTCACAACTTTTTGCTGATCAAAATATTTCGCAGGCTTCACCACAATCTGCACAGTCTGAGAATTCAAATGGAGCTATGTCCACGTCTTGTTCTGAGAAGGCCAAATACCGACAAGCCTTGGAGCATGGTATACATATCTCCTTAGAACAAGAATCTGCACCAACTAAGCAGCATAACTTGCATCGTTTTGACTCATCCTCGTCCGAAAATGTAGAAATTTCCTCTAGTTGTAATATCGCCTCTCTAAAATTCGGGCGGCCAAGACCCGCTAAGCAACCAGGACTCGTCAAGTCAGAGGAGCTGAACTTACCGGATAGAACTTTTCCAACTTCATGTTCATCTAGTATCGATAACTTGCATTGTTCTTACTCCGGACGCCGAAGCAATAGCACAGGGCTCTTATGGAATGGTCAGTCTATTGATGTCATCTTCATGTCACCACCTTGGGGTGGGCCTGGCTACACTGGCCTCGTTCTGCCGCCAGGCTCGAGTAGCTGGAATACGCGCAAGCGTCATCGCTGGTTTACTTCTGAGGAAGCATCTGCAGCCGTCGATTTGGCTCTCTTTAATCTGGACAAAATCCATGTACTTCCTGAAGCCCTTGAGGCCGGACGTCGACTTACCAACCGACTGGCCGTCTATTTGCCACGAAATACATCTATTGGCCAAATTCTTCAGCTTGGTTGGACGCCAGAGGAGCATGCAGCTGCAGAAAATCAACACCATACGCAGCAAGATAATTTATCAAATACTATTAGCCCTCCAGAACATTTGGAACTTCTCTCTGAGCCAGAGAATAGAGAGGGTGATGTCGCTGATCTGTTAGCTAGACTCCAGGCTGAGCTGACGGTAAAACGAAATCAGTTAGCCACATCTCAAGCACCCTCCTCTGAAGCGGACATTCAAGCTGACATGGGCACATCTATTGGAGTGGAATTATCACAGGACCAAGAACCAAGCCAAATTCAGAGATTAGAGCGGATGCAGACGGCATCTCCATCAACCTGTTCGCCATTTTCGATTGAGGTTTCCTCATCGAAGCCTATTTCACCATCTCCCTCTGTTATCCAATTTACTATAAGTGACAAGCAAGACGCCCATTCTTCCTCGAATTCCGCTCTGCTAGATTTTCGTTTATCAAACGCAAACGATACTTCACTCAATCCGAATTCAGAGAGCCAAATGGTTAACGAGCATTTAGACCAGCACTTTTCTGATCATAGCCCTACGACACCTTTAATTTGCCCTTCATCTACCTTGGATCCCTTGAGTAAAGCCGCATCCTTGCCGACATTTAACGTCTTGAGTCAAGAAGAGAAGCAGCTCAACGATTCCTCAGATTCATCCTATCCTTTAGGCTCTTGCAATACAAGCTCGAAGGATCAGCTTAGAACTACTGGAGGACTTGAATCCACTTCACTTGGCTATCACCACTTAGATGTCGCGCTTGAAGAGTATTTCATTCGAGGGCGGCAGATGGCCATTACTGCTTACTTGGGAGATTTTGAATACTTACATCGCAATGCTATCTAATCCTTTTCAATTTCGTTCCACTAAACCTTGCGCTCATTCACAAAAAAACAACTTGTTTGACCTATTTACCCTCAATTTAAAGTAATATATGTACATATTTTGTTTCAAAACTAGTTTTAGTTGATTCATCTGCAAGTTAGCCCTTCGGATTAGTCATAAATTCATTATTCTTCACTATAAGTCGAGGATGCATTATTTGAATAAAAATCTGGTTTCGAAGAATTCCGTAGTGATATGTTGGGACATGACTACATTTCGAAGGAAAAGTTGAATGGAAGAAATTCGTGATTTGATCGCACTGGAAACTGGAAGAGAATTGCCGCGTAGCGAAGACTTTTGTATTGTGCGAATAAATCTTCGGCTCACCGTCCTGCAACCCCGACGAACCTGTGCTAAGCTTTCGTCTGTATTGTGACAGACATCGTCGGAGCAAGAATCCATACCTTACCAAATAGAGCACAATTAAATTAGATCAAGACCTTTCCTCTTGTTTTAGTTTATTTTTGCTCTATTTCTTAAAGTATGGATTCTTGCTCTGTCGTAGTACAGACGAAAGCTTAGCATGGGTTTATCTGGGTCGCAGGAGCCGAGGGCTTCTTCGCACAATACAAAACTCTTATCTCCGCCGCAATCCTCCTTCGGTTTCCGATGAGACTACATCACGAATTCCAACCTACTTTTCCTTTACAATGGAAAGCCATGTCACAAGAGAATCCATTATATTACTCGATTCCATTGTTTTGTATGAGCAGCAACTAATGCAAAGACTATGCTCTAAACTCAGTTGAGACTGCTTAACTTGGGACCATTTCGAAGAAAATATGATAAGTGAGTACTTGGCTGTTCCGCATGAATGTCTACGTTACCATAAGTCGGTCTCATCTTTATCCTGCCGATCTCATAAAATTGATGCATCAGCACATGATTGCAACCATTGCATCTTAGGCTTTCCTTACATTTTATTGCCAAATAATCATTCTTCATATTAAGTATCTATCTTATTTCTAAAAATTTTGCTTACTCTATCTCATACGAATACCAAATTCTAGGTTCCAGAAAGCGCTTCTAATCCCTATGTGTGTAGTCTGAGTCGAGATTGTTTTAGTAAAAAAAATATTAAAACCCTTAGTATATATATATATATAATATTTTCATATATTTTTTGTGAGTTGTAATTAACACATGTCGATTACCACAAGAATAATAGAATTTGTTGTATCCAGCGATTTATTCAAAAGTAAGAAAGACTTTCATGGTCATATTTTTATGAGCACAATAAAAAAATCAGATGCCTACATTTGGTCATTTGTAAAGAATAAATGATGTCCTATGAATATAGTGCATAGTTCAAGAATTTCTTTTCGGTCTAACAGTGTTTCTTATACGTGAAATAATCTAGGCCTATTTTTCTTGGATAACTCGTTTTCATAGCTTTTACCCTCAAACAGCCCTATGGTTTGTTGAGATGTAAAATACTTCTAAAATGTACAGGTGCATAATTTGGTACTTTCTCTAAGGCATATCGGCATTGTTTACGACCATCACATCTATTGAAGTGATAGTGGGCGGTCGAATTTAAACTTGTCCGGTAATTTTTGAGGCATCTGTCTCATTGCAAGATGGCCTTTAATTTCATGATCCTCTTGTTAACCTTCAGATGGCGATACGCAAAGTAGCCTAGAAGACTGTAAGGCTTTAAGGTAGTGACTTAGTTCAGAAAAAACATAATAAAAGGGTTTGAGAAAAAGAAGAATACGCGGCCAAGTGGGGCGGCTACGACGCTCAGGCAGAGCCGTAATTGCGCTGCCATTCTTGATACTTTGCGACTAGCTGCCGGGCCGAAGGCATTGTTGACTGGAGAGCAGCCTCAACATCTTCTGTCGTGACGGGGTCAAGACGGACGTGTAATTCTCCATTATTTTTGGCGTCTAAACATCAAAAGCCAGAGAGGGACAAGTGAAAAGAATGTCCGAGGATAAGGGATTAGAAATTTATAAGCCTGATGAATTGAGGGCTAGGCAGTATTTTGAAGCGATTGGCTTGATTTTTGGCCCCATAATACTTGTTGCATACATATTATTATTTCTTGCCGGCCCACCGTTATTTGCGACATTTAAAAATCGAGGCATCAAGCAATTATATATACAGAGATAGTCCTCAAAATCTATAGGTTAAGCTGTAAAGCTTTTTTTAATTAGGTGGGTCGTTCTTTTCCTAGTCCTAAATGCACGCACAAATTCTATCCCATGCCCTATCACTAAGTTACATTCAGTTTTGGGGGGCATCAGGGCCTGTAATAGCCAAACGTATTGGGTTGGACTTCAAGAGAGGCCATGCTTGACAAGCATCTTTAATCATTCCCGGACTACCGGTCATAGAACAGCTAGACTGTCTTCATGGACCTCAAATAACCCAATCAGCAGGCAGTAATGGACAACAAAGCTGAATGTTATTAGAATTATATAATATGATAGCCACAGAATTTACTTTCCATATATAGATTTTTTACAGCATTTATAGGGCTTTATCATGCAAGCCACAGCGGGTGTCAACATGTAATATCGATGGTAAATTAGTTTTGGGCCTCAGTTTATAACCTATGTGAAAACAAAAACTTTCAGTAATAAGGAATCTACTTACGATGCTCCTTTGATACGCTATTTCCCTCTAAGATGTCGAAGATCTTTCTTATAACCCGCATTGCCGCCTCCTTGCAGACGAGGCGAATGTCCGAACCAGAATAGCCTTCCGTCAGCTAGCATGGATGAATTATGTTGAGGGGGGGAAGTAATTCAGATGAGTCAAGGCTTTCTGCCTGTTTTGCAAAACAAAAGTGAATAAAAACCAAGAATGTGATCTAAGTGTTTCTGTTGTGCCCTCTAACAAAACATTGGAAGAATTTTTAAAATGTAGATTTTTATTCTTTTACCTCCGCTACACGTTTGTAGTCAATTCGGCAATGAAGCTCAAGGCCAGATGGTGTACTCGAACTGGTAAAAGTTGGAAGAAAATCTTCAAACATGTGCTGGCGTGCTTGTATGTTAGGCAAATCCACTAAAATTCTCTTCTCAAGACGACGCAGCATAGCATGATCTAACTCCCTTACAAATAAATATGAGAAAAACACAGATTGGGATAAGTGTAGGCAGGAGAGATAAATATATGGATCAAGTAAACTTGATCCTGTCAGTTAGGTAGTGAAATTATTCGAGTGCTAGTGCTATAAAAAGTGAATCATAACTTATTGTTATTCCTATTCTACTCAGGTAAAAAATCTAGACATTTCTAATTGGTAAAAAGTTTAATCTCACTAGAAAACTTCCTTAAAATGTGCTGGAAACCATTCTAACAGATCTATTAACCATCCATTTTCGTTTTACAGTAGGTCTGATAGTTTTTTTCACTCGAAAAGCTCGAGATTCCATCGGCTGCTAAACATGAGTGGAAGAACTTCAATAGGAAAGTAAAAACAAAAGTTTGGAGTATACTA